CTATTTACCAAGACAAATAGGTTTCAAAAATATACCGTGGAGTGAAAAAAAAGAAGTGACAGAAAAATATGTAGAGTATGGTACCATTTATTTAAATTTTCAACACTCCAAATAATATCTACTTTGTGTGGCAATTCCTATGAGTTAAAAGGATTAAAATACAGACAGGAAGAAAGGTAAAAAACATGCTAATTAAACATGGGCAAGAGAGGTCCAGGGTCATCAGGGGTCCCACTCTGTCTGTTCCTCTTGCCCCTGGGCCAAAGGGTTGTGTCCACTCAAAGCCCAGTGCCCTCATCCCACCCACACTGGGAGCTCCAGGATTCCTTACTCAATGCCCCTGATCCCATTCCTCAGGCTCTTCTTCTAAGGCATGGGCCTGATGACTGCCTTGGGAAGGAAGAGAAGAGACTGGGATTCTATGGCTTGTATCTAGATGTCTTCCCAAAGCTTCATGTGTCATAGATGGGGCTTTTCAGTGGTGGCTGGATCAAGAGTGTGTGATTACTAAATTAGTCCACCAATTGGGTTAGCATAGTTCTGGTGTGGATAATGGGAAGGCCCACCCTGAGTATGGGTGATACCACCTAAAAGTGGGGACCCTAAAAGGGGTAAAAGGGAGAGGCAGGCTGCTGTAGCAGCTGCTGCTTTTGCTGCTTTTGCTGCTCTTGTCTGTCATACCACAAACTGTTTCTCCTCTGTGATGGCCCTTTGTATTCATTCTATCTTGACACCAGCCAACTATAGACTGAAACCTCTACAAACTGTGAGCCAAAGTAAATCCTTCCTCCTTTAACTTTGGGTGGCCAGTGTTTTGTCTCAGTAATGAGAAAAGCGACTACGGCATGAGGTAAGGGTTAAGTGGGTAGGAGGGAGACTCCAATTGTGTCTGTGAGACAGTACCACTTTGTAACAGTATATCTACAGCAAACATAGTAGGGTGACACATTAATTCTGGTAGTGGATGGTACTTTAAAAATCACTACCTTTATTAATAGCTGACTCTTACATAGCATGTATGTTTCAAGTAGTGATCTAAGTGATTTGCATTAAAATTGAGAAGGCCAGTCTGAGAGGCTGAGACAGGAAGATGGCAAGTTTGAGCCCAGACTGATCAGTTTAGTGAAGCCCTGTTCCAAAAAAAAAAAAAAAAAAAAAATTGCAAAGGATCATTCAACAATAATGACCAGGGGCTAGGTGGGGGGAGCTCAGCGGCACAGTGCCTGTCTGGCAAGCGCAAGATCCTGAGTTTTATTCCCAGTACAAAAAAAAAAAAAAAAACAAAAAACAAACAAACAAACAAAATACCTCAACAATAATGAAGACCAAGGCACTGAACCCAGTGGGTTCAGCTCCAAAGTCTGGGCTCTTAGCAACTTCGTAAACACCATTTACTCATCTACATATTCAAGTTACTTTTTTAAAAGGACAATTAAAATAAAAATACATGACAACCACAACACAAATAACAATGTAAAGAAATTCTGTAAGAAGGTTCTTTGCTATGTTAGGAGTAGGGTGAAAGGCTATTCTCTCTTTTTCTTTCCTTTTGAGACAGGTTCTTGGTAATTTGCCCAGGCTAGGTTAAAACTTATGATGCTCCTGTCTCAGTCTCCGAAAGTGTAGACATTACAGGCATGTGCCACCATTCCTGGCTTAGATCTGACTTTTAACTAGTTGTTATTGTGCACTTAACTTTCCTTAAAATTTTCTGCATTCCTTGTCTACCATGTTATCTTCACCATTACCTTTATATGATTACCTTTACAAGGCGCACATTTATAGGACAGCAGCTGGCTCTATGAACCTGGTGAGGTTGCAGGCATGGGAGGCTGTCTTCTGTATTGTTGGTGGGAATGTAAACTGGCATAAGAACCATGGAAATTAGTATGGAGAGGCCTCAAAAAATTAAAATAGAAATTCCATTTGACTAAGTTATTCCCTTTCTAGGTATTTCCTGAAAGAGTTGAAGTCTTTGTATCACAGTAAAACACGCATACTCTTGTTTAGAACAGCACAATTCATACTAGCTAAATCTTGGAAATGCCTATATGCCCATCAACAGATGAGTGGATAAAGAAAAAGTATATTTATACACAATGGAGTACTACTCTACCATAAAGAGGGATAAATTTGAGTCATTTGTAGGGAAATGGGTGTACCTTGGAGACCAAAATAAATCAGACACAAGCTTAAATATTGCACAAATTCTATTATATGAGAAACGCAAATTATAAATAAAGAGCAAAATAAAAGGTAATTGGAAGTAGAGGAATAGTTCTTTCTCAAACAGGAAGGGGATCAAGAGCTGGAGGGAGAATGAAGGGGAGGGAAGGAGATGAAAGAGGAATGAAGATGTGCTATGTACATGCGCCAGCTCCACACAGGAGTGGACATTATACACTGCACACATATGCTGGTATTAATAATAAAGTCAAGTGGCTGGGCCAGACAAAAGGCTTCTTCTGGGAGAGGTGCTGGCATCAGAACCAGGCTTGCTGGAGTGAGCAGGCTGGGGTGGGAAGGCGACATTCTAGGAAGAGGGAACTTCATGTCCATTGGCACAGATTGAGGAAAATTCAAGAATTTGAGGATTAGCAAGTAGCTCTGCTTGGCTGCCCATGAGGTGATAATTTGATGAGGGACCCAGGTTAGACTGAAAGAGAGGTGAGAAATGAGGACTGAACTGGGAAAACAAGGTGAGCTGCTAAAGGCCGCATCTCTGAGCAGCTCTTCGAGAGCCAGTTGTGAGGCCATGGTTGCAGGCAAGATCCCAGGGGAATTGGCTAGCTGGGAGGCACTGGGCCACAGACAGGAAGAGGATGTACAAAAATCGCAGGGGACATGTGTGAATGTACATGTGTGGGGTCAAAAGTCTGCATTGATGCCACAAACACTGACTGAGCAAGAGCTAGGTACCAGCAGTGTGCCAGGTGGTGGCGAACCAGACCAAACCTGTCCTCCAGGAACTGAGTTGGAGTGGAGACACACAGATAGGGCACATAAACAACTGTGTGACAAATAAACGAATGACTAAAATCATACAGTGCTTTGGACACAAGGCAGGAAAGGGAGCTGGGGGATGTGCTTGCGGGTGCGCGTATCTTCCAGGCGGCGGTGGTGGTAACAGCGGTGATGACAGGATGGGCGCTCCCTCCCCTGGTGATGTTTGAATGAAAGCCTGAGGAAGGGATGATACTGAGATTCTGAGTCTGGGGCCAGGAAGAACACAGTGACACCAAACGACAGCACAGCAGGAGGAGCTGCTTGGAGGATAGATTGAGTCGGGTCTAGCAGGCAGGTAAAATCCTCATCAGGCGGGGTTGGGGTGGTGAGCATTATTTAATGAGTCACACTGTGTGTCCCACACCATCAGGGGTATTTCGCAGCACAGTGTCTGTAATCCCTGAGCCAATCCAACAAGTCTGGTGTCAACTTGCAGCAAGAGTGACAGTAGTTAGAGTTGGCGCTTATAATGTGCATGGCACATATGTGCTTTTCTGCCAGGTTTTAGCTGTCACCTATTAAACTATTCAGACCTCATGTGACTGAGTGAGTACATGAGACTCATTTGACAGATGGGAAAACTGGGCCTAGCCAATTAAATGGTCCTTAAGTTAGGGACTGATGAGGCCCACTGGCACTTAAGCAAAGAGGAAGGGGAGGTAAACCTGTGCACTGGCCTCTGCGGACCTTTAAAAAAACTGAGCTGAGAGCAGAATGTGGGCAGATAGTTGTGGAGTGGGAGCGGGAAAGAGCAGTGAAAGTGTTCTGAACAGCACTTCAGGCTGGGCCTGCCCAGCGACTGCAGTGTGCAGTACAGGGCGATGGCCACAGCCAGAGCTACATCCTTAAAGAGGGTACCCGGCCAGGCCAAGTGACCCTGCACCGGCCTAGCCGCCTAGGTGGGAGCAGAGTCCCCCAAGTGGGGATCCCTCAGGGCCGTGAGGATCTCTGGGGCCAATAAAGAAGGGCGAAACATGGATCCAAGCCACCCAGCTACCCTTTGCGGGCAACTCAGGCTGGGAGTAAGTGGGACAACCCATAGAAAAAGGAAATCTAGTGGGGTTCGCGTGAAGTGCTTAACTTTGTGAGTTGCCACGCTGCCCTACTGGCATGTTGGACAGTCCCCGAGATGTCGTCCAAATCCTGCAGAGTTCCAGCCCTGCTATGGCCAGTGCAGGTGGCAGCTGCTGTGCTGGGAGCCGTCGGCCTGGACCAGGGTGCGCTGAGCGGTCTCTGCAAGTGCAGCGCAGGAGGAGGTTGGAGCCTGCGACCCTCTGTGCGCGTGCCCTCAGTCTTCACGTGCTGCCCCGCAACCGCGTCCGAGGAGCCCCCGAGCGGCTGGCGGATCCTGGAACTTTCTTCCTGCGGACCCTGGCCCGGAGCGGATCTCAGGGCATGCTGCTGGCGGGACCAAAAGGAGCTCCGCGCCAGGCCGGAGGCGGTGCCGGTCCCTCGCGATCTCGGACCGGGCCCGTGCTCCGCCTCGTCCCCGCGGGTTCGGCCCGCGGCGCTGCCTCGCCGGGCCCGCACCAGA